ACCGCTTCTTTCTATTCATACGAAAACGCTGCGCTTTCTTTAATGGTTTTTTAACCTTAACCTGTCTGGCGGCTTTATTCGCCTTTTGCTCGCACTCTAAGTGCTTCCTTTTTTTACGAAATTTATTTGTAAAATATTGTAAGAATTCTTTCAGTCTGTTTGCTCCGTTCTCTGGCTTTTGGGAATTATAAAGTTGAAGCTAAATTTAATTTCGAAACTTCGGAGCTAACTGCAATTGGCCAGAAAAAAAATAGCGAAATAAATATTTATGCAGAGATTAGTATTTTTTCCAATAAAGCGCTAGAGAATTAATGCCACAATTGGTGACTTGTTGCAGGGCAGCACAATTTTGGTCCTCCAAAGATGATAAATATCGCTGGCTTTGAATAGGTATTTAATCCTAGCAAAACTGACCATTCATATGCAATCGCAGTAACCATTAATTTTAGGAGATACATGAGAAATTTTTTCTTAATAAATTTTTTTTTTATTCAAACTTTATAAACGCTTATTAAATGTCCGGTTAACACAAACCGGAGGTTAGAGCTCCAGTTAAATACAACGACTGCTTCATCGAAAAAGTCGATAACGCTGTTTAACGAGGAGTAAGTGATAACCAGACATTGTTTTAGTCTAAGGGCCGTTTTCACCATCTCTGGTTAACACTAACCGCAGGATAAACATCGTTATCACGTCGATAGAGTATACATTCTTAAGTACGTCAAGCACTGAACTAAACTCTTTTCCAAGTGCATGGAATATTTCGCAACTTGGCTGACGTAAACTGGTGTCATGCTATTCAAAAACGGATCCAAAGAAACTTAACCAAGTTCCTTATTTAATACCACCACTTCCGTCAGAATTAGTAGCCGAGCCATTTAATGTGTAACTGTTTGATAACAAATGATAAGATTTAAGGCATTACTGCAGCGTTTTACAGTAGCCAGCAAATATTGCTTTGGCGGTAATAATGGCAATAAAAAAGTAGTAATATTGTCAACAAATTATTTCTTGGTTCATATAATATCGCCCTGCCTAAGAACTTGCCGAAACACTGTGATTGATAAGAAAAAAGTTCCGAATATCCGTAAGGTATAATAAAATTCTTATCAAATCAATAGCAGTAAGTATACACTCTAAGACTTGATAGTGATAATTTAATCTGACCAATATAGTGTATGCGGATACATTTCCCAGAAATATTAGTTTGATAAACAATTACTGTTACTCCTAAAATTGAGCGTACGGCTCTTGTTTGTTAATATTCGCAATGTTTTAGATGGTAAAAATTTTCAAAATTTTTTTTTATGAAAAAAATACGTAGGACAGCCAGCAAAAAAAAATTCATAAATCAACGCGAGTTTTTAGATATTTGAAATTTGCACATTATTATACCTTTCGAAAATTCGTATTAAAAAGTTCGCTTTTTCGTTTTGCTAAAACTTTGCAGATTTTTCGTAATTTCTGTACACAATATCATTCTTGGATTTAAATGTACTTGGCTAAAAAAAAAGCCATATTTTAAGACGAAATTAAAGAAAAAGTTTTAGTGTGTAAAACATTGCGAATATTAACGAAAAAGAGCCGTATGCTCAATTTTGGAAGTAACTGTATGAAAACTTTCTTTTAGTATAAAAACCGGACGAACTGGTTAAAAATCAACAGTATCTATTTACCCGCGGTCCACTATTAGTGAATAACTTGAAATTTTGCTTCATTTGGTCAAAAGTACTAAAAATTAAAAAAAAAAAACATGAAAATCATTGTCCAGGCTTGCGTTATATTTGCCATCGTTGCCATTGCTTACTCAGCGAGCACATCATGGGGCGTACAAAACGCTACTGATTCGCTTGTACTCAGTAAAAATGTAGTTTACCCAGCTATTCGCAATACTGCACAGACACATTACTTCAGTATTCCTCAATCGGTAAGTCTGAGCAATATTTTTTTTAATATCATTAAATTCATCACAGCAGTTAAACTTTCTTCTTTTCTTGCAGTACCAAAGTAATAACAAATTAATCAGCGCTATTTACTTGCAAGATCAATTCATAAATGGCTCGGGTCCAACAAACTCCTTGATTTGGGGTGGTCCTGGTTGGACGTATGCTACAATTCAAATGAGAACTCAATCTAATAGTGGTCTTAATGTAACTGTTGTTGTTTATGGTAAATAGATAAGTGTTGAAATAAAGGAAAATATATGAAGGAATAATGCCTTTTAATTTAAACTATCTATGTACTAGGGCCGGCCAGTAGGGCCGTGACTTTTTCAATAAGGGATTGTTCATAGGCTTAAAAGCTATTTACATATTTCCAAACAGTTTGCCTTGATGTCTAACCAAACAATTCGCACAGCGTTTCTGCAACTTCGTGATGACCTTGTGATCATCAATCAATCGTGAGTAAACACGGCACGCATCTTGTTCTTAGAAACTACTGAAAATGTGACGCCATGAAATCGCAGTCTCTTCGGTTTGGATTTTGGATGACAATTATTTAATTTTTTTTCGGTATTATCTTTCTGTTATCAGTCTGTCGAAGTCCAGCCACTTGACAGCATAGGAAGAAATGATCTACGCAAAAATAATTTATATTTACTTTGGTCTTTTGTGTTTTATGTTAGTTTTGCTTTTAAGTTTTTCTTTTTTCTTTTAATAGTCCCTGAAGATGGCTTTCGTTGAGAGCCGAAATATCGGACACTTGTAAAAACAAAAATAAAAACTTGACCTCAGGCTCGAAAAGAAACCAGAAAAAATATCTATAACTAAAGGTCGATTAAATAAATTCTTACATAGATAAATATTATTTTTAATTTAACTTGACTTTTAAGAACTTATTTACTTTTTTTCTTTTTTTTAATTGAATTATATTTTAGTTTTTAAATCTAATTATGTTTTTGTTTTTAAATTTAGTTATCTTTAAGCTTTTAACGTTTTTGAAACTTATTTTATGAACTTTTTCCTTTTTAATTTAATTTTTTCTTTTAAGTTTTAGATTTAATTTTTTTAAGGAGAAAAAATATTTTGTTTTCTGGTATAATATTTAGAAACTTATTTAATTTTTTCTCTATTTTTTCTCTTGCGTTGTTATTTAATTTTCTTTTGATTTTTAAACGAAAAATATTGATTTTAATTTAAATAATTTAATTTTTAAAAACTCATTTAAGTTTTTTCTTTTTTTTAGTCTAATTATCGTTTAGTTTTTAGATTTTATTGTTTAAAAAAAAATTAACTGTATTTTCTGTTTTCGTTTTTTTCTTAAATATTTTTTTTTTTTCATTCTAAATTTCGTTTTGTGTTAATCTTTGGATTCTGTTCTTAAATTTTTTTTTTCATTTAATTTTTGGAAACTTTTTGTTTGTTTTTGTAAAGGAAAAAAATGCAATTTATTTAATTTTTAGAAAACTTATTGCTAAAAGACAAACAGATTAGCGCTAAGACCCCCTCGTTAGCAGAGCTTTCAATTAGTCTTTCGAAATACAGAAAATAGCGCTTTCAAGATAGATGCCAGATACGTCTTTCGAAAGGCTGTGGTGAGCTGAAAGCCAGTTGGCAAAATTGCCCTGTTGGCATGGCTAAGTTTTTTCGGTTCTGTCAGCCTCTCATCGTTGTGCTCGTACCTACGGTAAGACCTATTATCAAAGTTAGAGCATATTACTTACTACAAAGGCGATCAGGTGGTATTGATGCTAAACAAGAAGACCCTGCCGTTCCTAGAAAATACGGCCACGATTAAAAACTGCCCATTGTCTAATAGGTATTGCCGAAATACGAAATATTTAATGGGTTATAACAGAGACCGAAAAATCGAAATCCCGACCATACTTGGGAATGTATATGTAAGATTACATTCCATGAGAATAATTTGGATACTTGGAAATAGAGATAGTTAGAATGAATATCAAATAGATAATCAAGTCCACTCACCTGTATGGCCGCTCTCGCTCCACGACTTATCGCTGGCATAACGCTCGTATGCAAAACGCATTGTTTCTTTTGCCCATATGTCATGCCGTCGACTAGATAGCAATTGTCGGGATTCAAATCTATTGGCTCCGAATACGCCGGCACCGTCGGACTTGGCGTACTGCTGTTATTTGTCGAAGATGTGACACTTCGATCTCCACTCGAAACGACGAAATCACGATTACCCGTTATGACCGCATCACGCTCCAAATAGCTCGGTCCATATTTGGCGGCAAACTTATCATTATTGCTCGCGCGACGTCCTTGTATACCGGCACCAATATTGCGTCGTTTATGATGCGAACGTATGGAACGTGAAAGCAATTGTAATTCGCCTTCGTCGGCACGCATTGAAGGCGTCGGAGTCGTTTCCCTGCTCTCATTGTACGGTATCTTGAAGGAGTCAGGTATTTCGATGGACACCGCAAAGCGTTTTGTGTTGTTCAGCGTCTGGATGTAGGGTTCGTAGTGCGGCCGTAGATATTCACGTTGCTCGCGCAACAATTGCTCACGATGGCGCTGACGCTGTTGCTCCTCGCGTTTACGCTGCCGTATGCATTTCGGCGAGTCAGGATTGCGTATACACAATGGTCTCTTGGTTGGACGCTTAGGCGTCGTACTCGTCATGGGTGTGGTAGTCTCTGGCGTAGTTGTTGTGGTGGCGGCAATAGTTTGTGGCATACCAGCGGGTGAGTTATCGAAATTGCGTTGTCTCACATCGCCACCAGCAGTTTCGTTTTTACTCGTTTGATCATTTAGCAACAACACTTGTGGCACAATTGTGATCTTTTCGCGCGCATTCATACCGGCTTTCGAAAGAAACACCGACATGCCGCCATCATCTACATCGTCATTGTGATAGTAGCCGCCGAAAGGTTGACCCCCTGGCAGTTTTGCGCCACTCGGAAAAGCGGATTTGCGCGTAGGTGGTGTAGCGGGCGCAGAGTATTGAAAGATTGAGCGAAAAGGGCGCGCAGTGGTTGTTGTTATTACAACTGTTGGCCCTGGATTTTTCCGATCTTTTTGTAGACTTGGGAATACAACGAATTTCGACTGAAAATTGCTATCGTGCTTAGTGAGATTTTGCAAAAATAATATATGCTTTTTGAGATCGTCGATATTCGATGCAAACTCTGGTGTGACAGGTGTAGTGGGACGCTTTGTTGTGGTCGTCGTCGTCGTCGTTGTGGTGCGCCGCGTCGTCATGCCTACTAGACGCTGCGTAGCCATTAGCGCGTGTGGGTCCGGGGAAGCATTCTTAAGCGCCATGGGTACGATAAATTTTCGATCTTCATCCGTCAGACTTGTGGGCAAACCATTTTCATCTGTGTCTTCATCAAGCAATATAATTTGTTTTTGATCCATTTCTTCTTGTATTGGATGACGACGTCGTTGTGCCATTATTATACCACCGCCGGGACCTCCACCACCACCACCATGACCACCGCCAGCGCCATAGTGCATATTACTGCTTGTGCTGGCAGCAAAGTTAGGTATTTTCTTAGTTAAGTCGGCTTTCACAAAACCCGTCGTCGAATCGCGCAAGTCAACGGGTTTTATGAAAGAGCCCAACTTGCGCAGGCCTTCCTGATGCATGAGCGCCTGCTCATCTTTGGTTATGTTGAGGGGCACACTGTTGTTGGCCAGCACTTCTATATTGTTGCTGAATTCGATGAAAGGCGACTTGATGCCGAGGCAGCTGTAAGTAGATGCAAAGATGTTGAGTTAGTCGTGTGGAAAGAACGATGACTCGCGATAAAAATATTTTATGTAGTTAAATATACTTAGATATGAGTTGTAAAATTACATTTAAAATATCAGAACATACTTAGTATCAAAATAGTAAAAGACAAATGGGTCTCGATGGAAATATTTCTAATTCTAACCCGTACGACTGTAGAGGAAATGAAATGAAACTGGCCGGAAAATCGCGCAGCATTCACACCGATATCTCATAGTCTTCAAACCGCAGGCTGCTGACTCTGATAGCAGTTCCACCTAAGGTTGACGACAGAGTGTTTGCTAGAAGCGATACTTGGCTATAAATCGGGTGGGTTAGGACTTTCCATGCGGTACCATAGAGATAAGTTTTGACCACTTGTGCGACATGCGGCCGATAATTGTCATGGTGGAAGATCAATGAGTGCTTTTTTAGATGTATGTAGCTTGCATTTGTGGTCGAACTTTGGTCCTACCGAATGAAACTGCGCATCTCTTTCTGCGAGGCTTCGATGGCCCGCGGCAATATTGTCATGAAATATTGTATAACCCGTTCTTTACTTCTAGTTCTATGGTTTTCCACACAACCTGCCTGACTCATCGGCAGGCACAAAATTTATTGAAAAATTTACAACTACAAAGTTTCGACAGGGTCGATAAGTAAATAAATGAGCAACAGACAATACACGAATTGATTTGAATTCCCATCTACATTAAAATATCACTCGTTTGCTCGAAGAAGAACGTTGTAACTCAAAAATGCGACTAAAAAGCATTGATGTTCATAGTTCGGTTTCCCGATTGCACAAAACTAAAGCTGCCTTTACACAGGTCGATTTTCTAGTAGATCTTTATCATTCAGTTTAATTGTAAAATGTAAGTGCTTTGGCGGGCCGACTTCTCAGTCGATTTTCCAGTCGACAGAAAGCGACCGGTGTAAAGGCAGCTTAAGTAATAGATAAAAACGAAATAGATATTATCGTAAAGCTTTTTTTAAAGGGCAAAGCAGCTTTCATTTGATTAGTTAATTTGGTCGAAGAGTCGATTGCTTTGTAGTTATACTAGTCGCTGAGCAAAACTAGTAAGAGTAAAATCGCAAGAAGGAAACATTTATTTCTAATGAGACACAATTAAGAGAATGCATAAATTAATTTTTTACCGAACATAAAATAAAGGCTGCCGACCATTTCTGCATACTACAAATGTATTAAGACGTTCTTACAGCAAACGAGCGATATGAAAGTACATAGATTTTTTATGAACGACGCAATCAATTGGCGTAAGCAGACAACCAGAAAAATTTTTACAGACCAAATGGCAGACGGACCAAAAAACACAACAAAGCTCATGTCAAACTCATGTAGACAAATGTTTTCGAATGTGTAAACGTCAATTTAGAAATGACAAGTGAAACTAATCGCCTCGAAATATTAAAAATCGAATCAAGAGAACAAAAGAGCTACATACCTACTGGTTACAAAATAAAAAAAGAGTACAAAAGTACAAATGTGGGTACATATGCATGCATGTAAGTGTGCGTAAACATACATAGATATACACATTAGGGTGGTCCTTAAAAATATAAGGATAAAGGATTTTTGTCAGTCTCGCCCCTTCAATCGGTAATACCAATAATAATAATACAAAGTTTGGTACCGATTGGAGACGGGTAAGGCGTTAAAGTTAATTTTGTTTTTATCTGGTGCCCAAAATCGATACCACCAACATCCTCCAAGATATCACACATACATTTGTATCCCTATTGGAGTCGGTTAAAGCGTGTCGCAAAGGGGTCAAAAGCCAGATGCCTCTATGGAGACTCAAAAAATTAAAAATATTTTTTTTTTTCAACTAATACCCAAATCGATACTACTAAAGTCGAAGATATCACATACAAATTTTGGTCCCGATTAGAGTCGGTTGAGACGTCGTCATAGAGTAATCTGAATTTTGACCCCTGTGCGCCACGTCTTGACGGACTCCAATTGGGGCCAAAATTTATATGTGATATGTTCGACATAGTAGCATCAACGTAAAGGTTGAGGCTTAGGAAATCTGATGTGAAAATTTGCTTCATACATTTAAGGACCACCCTAATGTACCGAAATATCTTCATATGTTAGTATTTGACAACTTAACCAAGCGGAAAACTCAAGAAAGTTGTTATATGTCTGTAATAACGACACAACTCAATTTTTTCAGTAGAGACAATTAAAGCGTTTGTGTTTCGTAATTTAGCAATAATATGTCTGGGAACGTAATTATTCCGGACTATTTACAGTTTTAAGCTTTCAAATTATCATTTTTTTTCTAAAGATTTAGTAAGGGTTGGACTTAAAAAAAAATCGAAATAAGTAACATCTCCTAAGTAGTTAAACGAAAATAACTCCCCTGTTATTACTGAAAAACGACTCAAAACCAAAAATGTCGTTTTTTCCCAATAAGAGCATCACTAAACTATCGACAGTTTTTAAGTTTTGTGTAAATTTGGGTATTTGTAAACCTAATGGTTGAACTCAGAAACATGAAATTTTGGGTTATGTCGTTGTTGCAGACGGCCATCGATATGCACATATGTAGGTATGAGTGAGCCTGCCGCAATTTTGGTATGCCACATTTGTAACCGAAGCCACTCGAGGAGAAAAAAATTGGCGTGTAACAGACAGACGTTGAAGTTGACTTGTCACAGATGAGGAAGTTACAAAGCAATAACAATAACAAAGTGCTGCTTATCATTTGTGAGTGGTAAATAAATTGCACACTTATCGGAAAATTTCCAAACGAAATGATACGCACAATAGAGTGGATATTTGCTGCTGGGGCGAAATCATGCACGAATTGGCAGTTCTTGTGGAAATTTAAAACAAAATTTTAATTAGATATTGGAATTTTTGATAAAAAGTCATTTAACTTGAACATGAAAAAACATGTTGCCATTGCATATAGTGTTGTACCAAAGTTCCGAAGGGGCAGTTTTTGAAAATTTCTTCTTTTTAATAGTTGCGTTCGAGATGGTTTAAAAACAAAAAAATTAAAGATTTGCCACCTGTATAACAATTTCAGTATACTTATCTAAATAAATTAATGAGATAAAGTATATATTACAATATGGGGGCAGAAAGAATGCTTACAGGTGGAAATATTTGTGAGGAGGGTTGCCACCTGTTTTAAAGATTTAATTTAATCTAAATGGAAACATGAATTAAATATTGCATATATCCGAATGCTACATGAATTTTGGAGTTTATCAAAATTTTCCAAGATTTTCTACGTTTTTTTTTCTAATTTTTTGGGGCTTCTTCGTCTTTAATTTATCAGGACTTTTAAACTTTTGAATTATTTCGCACTTTTCTTTATCTTTTAAGCGATTTTCGGTACTCTTCATGATATATTTTTCGTGATCTTTTGGTATTTTTTAGGGATTTTTAGGACTTTTCTGGGTTTTCGGGATTATTTTGATATTTACGGAATTTCTTGGGACTACTTTTGTTGTCCATATATAGTGAAGCCATAGATACTAAGTATTTTGTTCAGTATTTCGTTCGATAAACGTAACTAAATACATACTTCTATATCCAGAATTTAGTGCTGTGAAAATAACTAAATACATTTACTCATACTATACTTGATACTGTACTTGGTAATTTACGTTTTTGCCCATCACTGGTATGTCTACTATAATTAATTTTCATTTTCACTGTATATACAGATTTATATAAAAAAAATATATTTACTCTTGTTGTCCATAGGACTGTTGGCTGTTGTCTATACATATATGATTAATTAGTCCACATTCGTTCTTCCATTTCCTCACACAGTGCGATAGCAGCACGAATTCGATTTGTGTAAATGAATTTTATAAATTTTCCTTAGACAGCTTTTGAGATACTAAATATTTACGCCTTTAGATATTTTTATTACTTCTTTTCTTCTGCTTCATGCTTATAACTCTACGCCAAGTAATTGGTTGTTGTGTGGTAAAAAGAAATATCAATCGAATAAAAAAATAAAATAAATTAATGATTTACCATTTAAAGTTCCAAACATAGAAGAGATGTCTGTAAATGCGCTTTCAGCTAAATACAGATATTTCGATTATATGGCGCTATGATTGAAGTGAACGAATTTATCAATGTTCCGAGTTATATTTATGACCTCAACAAAAGGTCTTCATATATGTAAGTGCTATGACATTGTAATCGAGGGAGAGATGATAAATGCGATGCCGCCGAAATTTACTTGTGTGTTGGTAAATATTGTATACCTAATGGATTAAGAATCTTTAATAATTTTTAAGTGGAACCCTTATCGCATGTCGCAGCAAATCGATATCAAGTGATAATTGCTCTCTTTTGACTACGATTCAGCCGAAAACTTCTGACACTTAAAATAATGTGAGCAATGCTCAATTAGAAACATTTTAAATTCAGCAGAACAATTCTGTGATTGGTCAACTTCAAATTTTTATTCGTTGCCGTAGAAGAATAGTTAAAGAAAGTTTAATCAAATATAACTCTCGTCTTCAAGCGTCTTTTACTGACTCTCAAAAATAATGATTGAAAATTGTAATTGGCTTTTATTTTTGCTCATCACCTTTGTCGTCAAGCTCAACAAACGGGAGACCCAGGAAATGCGCCACTCCCTACCGGGTTGATCCATAGGGAGAGGGGAGTTAGTTGAGTGGGGTTTAAGGGGCATAAGAAAAGGTGTTCCGAGTCCTGAGGTGACTCGCCGCATGTCGGACAGACGAAGTTCTCTCTCGTCTACGTTTGGTGGCCGTGTTCCCAAAACGGCATTCAGAGGTCGGTAGTCGGTGTATGGAACGACCAACTACCTGTGGATGCCATTTATGAACATTTGGACTATGTCCGTTAGTTTGTATAGATGCTTTCTGACGTGCCTAGGCAGGTGTCTGTTCGGGTGCCCACGTCTGTGTCACCCTACTAGAAATTGCTTGCAAAGCACTGTATTGTGCTCATTGACAGGGGGCATTTGAGCTTCGTGATGTAGGTGGTGCTGTGGCGACATCAGAAGGCATCTTCGTCTAAGTGGTAAAAAGGGTTGCCGAGAATCGGAGAAATGGCTAGGCTCCTTGTAAATTGCAATGAAGAAGTGAGAAAGTTGGGAGAAGTAACCGTTTACTTTCGAGCACGGGTCATCAATTCAATTCCCGTACGCCATTATCGAGCAGTCGTCAGCATAAGAGACTATATAAACTCTTTATGGTGGCTAAGGGAGCTTTGAAATATAGTAATTAATTAAAAGCGTGAAAGGACTGTGAGACCCCTGCTTAATTTTTCTAGTCTCTTCGTACCGGAAAGACTCGAGTATAACCCGGCCAAGGATTGTTGTTTCGGCGATCTAACACTGTTTAGGTCTCATTTCATAGATACTGCAACGCTTTTGAGGAGCAGATGCTCAGGAGTCTAACCGTCAACATATTCAGGACCCTTCGTTTCACAGAGGCCTTTGTTTAAGGTTCTCTGACCGGCAATATATTCCGAAGGTTTTCGAAATTTCTTTGTTATACGTTAATGTAGAGTATTTTTGTATGAAAAATTTCGCAACAGCGCGTTTTTTCCAGGGGTCTCAGCAAAAAAAAAAAAAACATTAACAACGAGTTTCGGCTGCCACTTCGAAAACGCCCTATCTCTATATAAATTCAATATATCGGCAGCTGAGAAAGCGCCTTTTTGACGTTTTTAATGAGATATGGCGTTCCTGAATAGGGCTGCCGGGATAGGTTTATCTTCTCGGCCTACATCGGCCTCCGATATAAGCTATAGACGATTATACTAATATTAAAGTTAAAACAGAATATTCAGTTATATTTCAATTACATTTAACAATACAAATAAATCTATATAAATGTATGTTGTACGTTTGTATGTACTTGTGTGTAGTCCCTGTGCGGAAAGTCTCTAGTTCTGAACTGGTGCGCTTCTAGTACATGTAGACCCAGTACTGGTTCAGAATAAATTTCATTTTCATGCTAACAACTGGCGAATTTAACACGGCGATGTCGTAGAAAGTGTCAATTTGTCCTCGCTACATACCTTTTTCGATAGTTTCGAACTAATCCTAAATTTTGTAGTTCCGAACCAGTTCCAAATTCGCCACCTAAGATATAGATTTCTAATGAAAAAAGTGAAATAAAATAGTTTTTTAAAAGAACCACATTTCGCCGATTTTGAACTGGTGTAGATCTAATTGCTATCGGACTGGTTTGTTTTTGGCGAAAAAAATCTATTACGGAACTAGAAATTTGATTCACTAGTTCGCGGTTTCCCTACAGGGCTCAGTTAGAACGTCATAGCGAAAGGTATACTTGATGTTCCTATAAGCTTTTTATTTGTGGGCGTCCTATTGAAATGTGCATGGGTTTCGCTTTGAATACAAACTACAAACTGTAAGTATGTGTGTGATTTTTTTTAATCACTTCATCAGTTTACTGCAAAGCTAAATAAGAAATAAATTCTCATAAAATGCGCTCTCGTTTAGTAGAATTCAGCGTACGAAATTTTTATACAATAGCGCAATTTCATGATTATTACTATAATATATATTTTTTTCTAAGTTTATTTAGATAAGCAATGTCAAGCCACAATTTAAGCAACTCTAAGCTAGCGCTGCGAATCGCGCTCGATTTAGTGCCGCTTGAAGCCTCGTCGATGCAGCTAAAGGTGCTTATGTTTCTTTTTTTTATTTCTCTGGTGTATAAAATTACAAAATAGAGTAAATATGCAAAAGTTTTTATTACTAGTTTGCGTCTCGATTGGAATAAGTGACACAGTTTTGGTCGAGTCGGCCGCTACAGTACCGGAGAGTCATAATGTGATTTGGGGTGCGCGCAGCTCACGTGACGTACTCATCAAGCGTGAGATAGTTAAAGAAACATTCAAGCCATTGCGTATTGTCTCGAGTGATTATGAATTCAAGCAGAAGGTTTGTAAAATGAAAATATCTAACTATGTATGCAACTAAATAAAACTTTAGCTTAAAATATTTGCTGTCAAATTTTACATTCCCTCAAGCAGTCTATATTCTAATTTTTGTTCTTTTCAACGATCTCTTTTTTAGTCCGATCGTAATCCTTATCCACGCACTATTACCCAGATAGTCGTTACTGATCAATATACCGATGGCGATGGTGGCTATGCAACACTAAAGAGCGGTGGCCCAGGAATGGATTTTGCTGTTATACATTTGAAGAGTCAACGTGGTCATGGTTATCATTTTACTATTGATATTTATGGACAATAAAAGCACGCCCTATATTAGACCGGATGAAATAATTTGAAGCCTGACGTATCATTTATTCACAACCAGGTTTTTATACATTTTCGCACTGATAGATTAAAAACACACACAAAAGAGTGGGTGTGTGCTCTTAACCTGACCGACACCTACCGTCATTTATTCCGACCCGCTGAACCCAAATCTGAGGTCCGTTTGAGTTTCAAGTAAATTGTGAAAACAAGAAGCTTGTTTTTTAATGAAACAGATTTCAAATAGAGCAAGAATTGGTGCATGTGTGTCGTGTGTCTATGGAACAAAGTTAAATTGTTACTCCGTCGATCACGAAAGTGCTATCGCTTTAAGACATCAGAAAAAGGCCCCTAAGTTCGGCTGCAAAGTTTTGGGCAACGAAATTTAAATATTAATTTAATGAGCACCATTCGTTTGAATTTGTGAAGATGCTAAATATTAAATTTTTCGGCATAAAAGTGCTGCCTTTTTTGGCTTATCCCTGTAAACATTTGGACACATTTGAGAGTCAGAAAAGTCTCAGAATTCTGACTTGTAACCCTCTTTATGAGCTCAAGAAAGTGTAAGAAAAAAGCATATTTCCCTTCTTAGAAGTGTACGCCAATACGAGTCCAAGTTAGGAGTCATATTAGAGCCTGAAATGGCATGCTATGAGTCTTTATATTTCTACGTGAACTTTCTTACTTTTGTTGAACTCAGAATGTATGACACCAAAGGAGTCCGAAATGAGTCAATCTGGTTAACTGGTCTCAGTGTTATATTTATGACATAAGAAAGACTCTATTTAGACTTATAATTCTAAGCACTTAGAAAATTGTTTCATTCCCTTTAACTTTTTCTAACCTTTTATTCAAGTCAACTTAGCTTCATTTGGTGTAATCATCTGGTCACACTGTTCATAAGGTCCCATATGACATTTTATCTAAGTTTTGTTTTCTAATAGTGATCACCGATTGGCAGACAGTTGCAAAATTTCCGCATTGTATTAAAAAAATTATTTTGAGTTGGGATTTTTTCATAGAAACAAGAAAGTTGATGGCATGGAAAAGCTAATGCAAGAAAGTATATTCTCCACTATTGTTGGCCTCAATAGAGCATGGCTAGTCTCTGCGATAAAATATTTATTGAATTAACCAATTCTTGTGTTGTCTTCATTCCTCAATACTGGGACAAATCAAAATCTTAGCTCGGTTTACCGATGATGGTATAAACAAAAAACACATCGTATCCCTAGTAAGGGCTCTCTATACACAGCAGGGGACACGCTCTACGTGCGCTGTTCTCAAATGAACTAGTCAAGTAAAAACTTTTAGGCAACTGAGCCTACGTAGACCAACTTCGAATTTGAGCATGCAAATATTTTACGCATTTAGTCACATCGATCGGAAACACTATTACTTGTAGTGTCACGGTTGGTAGAATTCAAATTTATAAATAGAAATTGCCGGTTTCTAGATTAAAATAATATTTATTATTCAATAGACGAAAACAGATTGAATGAAAAATATTGGAAAGTCCGTGTATGGGAGAGATTTTGTGTGGAAAAAAACCAAAAATTGTTTCAAAGAATGTGTTCGCTTATAGGAGACGCTCGCTTATTACAGCGTCCGTCTGTGAGAACTTTTACTATTTGTATGCTAAATTCTGTATGGGGCATGCCTTAATTTTTCGCCATGTACAAAATAAAGACATCTTCGCTACATTTTTTAATTCTGCAAAAATTAGACAAAATTATGGCATTAATTCGGATAAATATGACATATTATTGAAACTTATTCTTATAAATTTATAAACTCGCTTTGTTATAGCTAGTCAGCTAGTCAGTCTTTTTTGTCTAGTGGCTCGCTATGTTGATAAGAAAACTAAACATCGCCTGCCCGAAATCCAATTTCTTTACGGCCAGAGATCTTGTATATATACATATATATGCAAGTGGTAAGTTGGCATTCTAAACACATAATCGTACATTTGTACAAAAATATTTAAGTTTTCAAAGTAGACAATTGCATTATTGACATAACAATTAATATGATGGCGTTACAATTTGTGTATACAAAAATAAAATAAATGAGAAAATGTAAAGCGCAAGGTGAAGTATGTAAGTTAATATGTATAGTGGTATATCCTAGATAAAATACATTTAATAGGCTTAAGAAATAGTTTGCTAGTTGATAAGACAAATGCGATCGAAACCCATGTTGAGCTATCTAAGCTATGGCTTTAACTTAAAGCCTTTAAGCAATGTCTTATGTAATTTTGTATGTACTTACATATGTATATTATATTTAGCTGATAAAAACGTGTATATTTTGTAATGAAAATATTCGAATGATATCGGTCAATATAACAAATCAGTTCATATTTTACACGCTACTAGTTTGGTCGGATTCCTTAGCTGTTGTTACGAGTATCGTTAAAGAATGAAGTACCTTTTCGTATTCGCGCTCTTGGTGGGTGCTTTTGTTGCCAATTCCTTCGCTGCCAATGATTATCTATGGGGTGAAATCACTAGTAAGGACCATCTGATTTCGAAGGAGAGAGTCAGCAAGGGCTTCGTCGTGGGCCTCAGAGTAACAAAGAAATACGTTTTTAAGCAAAAGGTTGGCTAAAAAATTTGCAAAACTAGAGTATATTTTCTATTCTATTTTTTTTAACACTGAAGGATAATCTAAACGCATTGACAATCACCGCCATCAAAGTAATCGATAAGAAGAAAAGTGGTGCTAGTGTGACTTTGGTTAATGGTGGTCCTGGTTGGAAGGGAGCTACGCTACTCTTTAAGTCGAAACGTGGTAAAGGCATCAAGGATGTTGTAGAAATTTATGGACATTAAATGCATGTTTTGATGATACATAACTATAGTCTATGTTGTTAGTGGAAAACGAATAAAAATTTTGTTTATAAATGAATTTTGATTTTTGCAAGTAAAGTTGGGTAAGTTTTTGTACAGAGTTTTTCCAGACCTTTCGAATAAAGATTTATTTAATTGTTTCGATTACCTTCCGACCCTCTTTTATATCCAACCTATCGCTCAAAGATAAAGGTACTAAATATAAAATTAATCCCGAAAAAATCACTTTTTAGGCGTTCGTCAGATAATATTCCATCCGATTTTGAACACCTGACCGGGTGGCAACCCATTTGCGTATTCAATGCTGTAACCGCTTGTGGTATCATAAGAATAGGAAGCAAGAGAATGCTTATCCATTTATACTTCAATAAATATGTACCTAAAAGCCGACAACTACAAGTGTAATTGCATGACTAATCTAAGGCTTTTACTTTACTTTTTTTTTAATTTTTGTTTTTTAAGTGAAACTTCTTTAGGGGCCGTTGGTTTGTTGGGAGTAAATTGGCAAGTTCAACGGAAATTGCACACGGAAATGGTTCGGCTGAACAAGTGCTTCTTGAGTGTATGCACATGGTGTCCATTTAACAAAAACTTGCTTATAAAAGGTTAAAAGACCAATACAAGAATGAAAGTAAAGGTAAGTTTTGTTTTTGATGGATATTGTTATCGATTCTGCTATCAATATCTTCAGAACTTATCGATATAATGATCGAATTTTTTATCGTTTGTGTTATCGATTATTTATCGATTTTGCTATCGATTATTTATCAATTTTGTTATCGATATTTTTACCAATTTTGTTATCGATATTTTTAATTGATATTTTTATCGATTTTACAATCGATTTTTCTACCATATTATTATCGATTTTGCCATCGAATTTTTTTTTGAGGTTTTATAGATTTTGTTTTCGATATTTTTATCGGTTTTGTTATCGATATTTTGTTGAGTGTTACTATCGATTTTGATATCGATGGAGTATAAAGATAAAAATTAAGATAAAGGAAAACAGAATAGCATAATTGTAATTAGAATGAACAGGGGTAGAAATGGGATCTAGATAGAAAAAAGGCAAAAAATATAACCTTAAGCAAACGCAGATGTATGTTTGTATGTATATTGGTAATGAGACAAAATAGATACGTAACGTAAGTTTCACTTCTCCAGTGTGGCCCAGGCGCACTTACTTTTTTTCGTCAAATGAATTTGCTCTAAAAATGCAACTGATAGTCGCAAATGCAAATGCACACATACATACATACATCCGTCATAGACAAACTCAATGCCAACTAATCAATAAGAAGATAAGATACCAAAGAACATGTTAAGATATTTAGATTGGAAATCATCTCCAACTTTACAGAATATGTATGCATTTCAATGCCTTGGCTTGCACAACAAAAATTCCAACGATTTGTTTTTTCGAAACTTCAAGCATGTAAGTCAAAAATTTGTGTTACAAGCGATAAATAGGTTACTGGGTCACAATGATACCAAAAAATTCTAGTCAAATATTATTGCCAGTATCGAAAAACTTTTGCTATAAAAAGTGCAGCTTGAAATAGCGGATATCACAGTTGACAAGTGAACGCAAAGAAATTATCACACAACTTTTGAGTACACACAGTGAGGTGTTGGGCGCTGCCGAAAAAGTTAGAGTTGTACAAAGTTTTTAGTTTTTGTAAAAAAAAAACAAAAAAATACATTTAAAAAATGAAGAATATTTTTGTGGTATTGCTGCTCATTGCCACCATCCTAGCGCATGCAAATGCATCGCAACAACAGCTTGGCCAAATTTTAACAACTGATGCCACTTTGGGCATGACAACGCTGTCTCAGCGCTTTCGTTTAGGTCAAGTGGTAACGGTTGACTATACTTTTACGGTAAGCAAATTTTAGAAAGAGTTTTAGTGGTACAAAAAATATAATGTAAAACGAAACCATTTCACTTATCTACTCAATTCACTATTTTCATTTTATTTATTCACTTCATACAACCTTCTTTTTTCCGCTGCATCCCTACTTTCCATTATCTCGAACTCCTTCTTTTCAATCATCAACGGGTTGCTAAGCTCGCTACACAAATCTTATAAGAATGATCCGGTAATAAATGTATACATAGATACTATTGTTTGTAGTGCCTCGCCTTATGGTTCTTACATTCATTCCACTTTCTTCTTTTCCAAAGTTGCATACTTCATTCTCCCCTCATTCTTTGTGTTTCTATTTTGTGTAATTTTTTTTGTAAATCTTTTACTTTATTAATCATTTTATTTTCTCATTGTTCTCAAGGGACCATCGAATACATCTGTGGTCAGGGGCATTACGATAAATGACAATAGACCTCCGCGTAAAAGTCCTGCTGTCACAATAACAGCCGGTGCACTAGGCACAAGTACTGTCTCGATAAGGTTAACATCAACACGTGGCCTGGGCATTAATAGCCTAGTTACCTTCTATGGCACAACATAAAAAATAACGATTTCATTGAATACAGTTTTTTATTAAATTCATATTAGCACCTAGATTTTAAGATGTGAGGTAAACAAGAACGGAATATTATCAATAAAATTACGGTTTCGTATAAACTTTTTTATACATACATACATATTTAAGTAATTGTATTACACATTTATTGAACAATCTTTTAAGAATCTTTCAGCGGTTTTACATACACTGGTAGGGAATAATGTGTAACAAGCGAGGTTTTTGTTTTGGTTATTTCTCAACTCATACATATTCAACTCGCCTTATTTCGATCTGAAGGAAAGCGGTTCTCATAAAAATAACACTTGGCCAACAAAATTTTGCGACATAGCTTTTGAGAGCTGATTCTTTCCGTAGAGATCCTTTTTATCCGTTGATTAAGATTATGTCCGTTACATTATCCAATTGGCCCTGTTTTCGAGATATTTGGTATCAAAAATTTCAAAAAAGGTATCTTAAAATTTTTGCAACTTTCTTCTTAGAATACACCGTGCAGGGCTTAGTAAAGCCTTACTACTCCGATATAATTAAAAAGAAAAAGTATCCGAAAGCAACGGTTACGGGATGAACAAAAAAATAAAAATAAAAAATAACAGTTACATTTGGTCTGAAAAATATTAATCCAATTTTAACAGTTAACCTACAATTTTTTTTATGAAGATCATAAGGGTGCTTTTTAACTGGGCTTTATTCTTTACAGTAAGCCGAATATTGTGTATTCTTATGCGTTTAGAAAGGGTGCATTGGAAAGCGCTGACGAGACTATAACTGAACCAATTTAATTTTTTTGGTGTCCTTGATGATGGGAGCGCTCAGTATAAAGATACTGTCATTAAGTAGCTGGAGAGAAAGCAAAAATCTACCTCGATTGCACACCGATGCTGCGTATGCTATCTATGTATATAGTTATAAGTTACTCAATAAATTTGTTTTATATTTTCTCCTTACGCTCTACTTGTGATTTTTCTTTTAGTCTTTTGTTAAACTGCGCTAAGTGTGTGAAATTTCAGTCGAAAATATTGAATATTTTGAAATTTTTTTAAGCCTTTTTAAAGTATTTTCAAATAAAAATGGTTTAACCTACCTCTAGTGATACATTATCAATTACTTAAATCCCTTAATTGGAATTAAACTTTTTGAACAGGTGGCAAAATCTTGCACCTCTTTTTCTGACACCCATAATGTGGTATGTACACCTAATTTCCCTAATTCAAATAAAATTTGCTTTTTCAAACAGGTGGCAGCCCTTTTAAAAGTATGAGTTTAGAAATATTATTTCAATTGATACCCATATTGTAATAATTAATTTAAATTAATTGTATTAAATTTTTTGAAAAGTGTGAAACTTTGCAAAACACCCGAATAATATTATTATAAATGTTCAAACTAAGAGTTTCCTAACAATATGTTGCTTGGGCATAATTAATTTAAATTCGACTTTTCAAACAGGTGGCAACTCTTTTAAAAATATTTTCAAACTACAATATTTTTAAACCCCTTTTATCTGACATCCATATTGTAAAACAAAGTTCAAATAACTCCTTTAATTCAAATAGAATTTAATTTTTGGAAATGGTGGTATCCCTCCTCTGTGAGTATGTAACTCATTTTATATATCTCCATATCAAGTTCCATTACCCTACCACAACTACTTCCATACCTATGAAGTTGTACTAAAAAGATCATTGCGATATCTTGTTGTACTATATTAAGTTAACTAAAAAATTAAATAACGAGCATAAATAGTATGCTGTGAGTGAACGTGACGAGCAACACCAATAGAGAGTTTGCAAAATTACATCGAAAAAATCAGCCTTGTGTGAACTCAGTGTATTCAGCAATGAACGATTCTTGCATTAGACAAAAAGAGGCAGTTTGTCTGATTCCTGCACAATCCTTCCCTTGTCCCTTGTGTGTACAACTCTCCAGATGTGACTGTCTCTACGATATTTGATAAATGTAATTTTGTGTTTATTAGACAAGCATGACAAGTGGAAAATGTAAAAAACTTAGTTTTTTGGTAGTTAATAAATTGTCAGCAGGTGTAGGCTACAAGCAAGTACATACAAAAAAATCACTAACATGCAGAGTTGCATACTCGTACTGCATTTACTATGTAGACACAATGCTGTGGTTTTAGACACCCAAATCACCGCAGTGAATCTGCAAATGTGTTTCAAGTGCAGTAAATTTGCAAAAAAAAACATTTGTATGAATGGATGAATGGATTAAGTAAAGAGAATTGTAGAACATCTGTTGTAGCTTCTTGTAAACATACTAGCAGTTTGCGAACACATTTTGTGGTTTTTGAATACGAAATATTTGCAGAATATCTGATTAGATACTTCAAAATCATGAAGACTTACAATTTCATAAAATATTTATCTTTTGTATGCATTTGTGGTGTCTGTTTTCTTTTTGTTTATAAAAAAAATCAAAGCTTTGAAATTTATTAAAGTAGTACCGTAGGCAATTGACGCAAAAATAGATTGATACATCGCTGGTCTGTATACATACGCTTTAAGCAAAAATTTATTTAT